GCGGATGCTTGCGTGCGAAACTGAACTACCTAGGTCCGGCCATAGCTTCTACGAGTGCGTGACCACACTACTCATTTGTATGAACGCCGGGGGTAGACAGGGTGAGTAACAGTACGGCGGCGACCAGATGGTTGACCATTTTGCATGCCTCGTTAAAATAAAATGAAAGCCCAACAAGTGCCCCGACGCGATGACGGAGGCGGAAGCATAGGGAGACCGTGTTCTCCCGCCATCAGGCAAATCGTTAAGCATACAGTGGGTGTTCTAGCTCGTGAAATATTAACCGAAATTCTAAAATGTTTTTTTTTCGACCAGAAAACACCGCGTGGGTGAGGTCGCAAGACTAACAGCTGCGCAGCATGATATTTCAGTCACATCAGGGTGCCGGCTTTTGAATGAGCTTCTTTCCGGTTGCTTGTAAAAACTTCTGTCTGCGAAAAATGACTGCCTAGGTAGTACGAATTTTACCCAATGATTTTTGATGCCCTCGTACACTTTGATATGTTCTACAGAAAATGTGGAAAAATATTCATCATTGTGCCCAGTTGACAACCAGTTGCATCTCCTGCAAATTATACACTCGAAGAAAGGCTATAGTACGCGACCTAATTCCTGGAACTTGTTAATATAAACTGATATGGGAGGTTTCGTACGCCCTAGACGTTGCGAATTTCGTTCATTCGTTTAGACACCTAGAGGCAGTGGCCTTTCCTCATGCAGAAAATGTGTTCACGCAATTTTATCAAGCAAAATGTTAATAAATTTGAACAACAATGGACGTTACGACGTAATCAATCAATTTCCTATGCTAGTATTCATCCTACTCATCGGGTGCGCATCTGAGTGTCTTCTTCATTGAGAGGAGAGTAATTTACTCTCGAAAGTTCTACTAAACAGAGTTTACCACACTTGAAAGTTTATTTTAGTCCGATGCTAGTCGTGGGAATCAATTTGCTGACGCACAAGTTATTTTTGGAGAACCAAGAGTTTTATCGGTTTCTAAAGGCCAGCTTAACATATCGGTGCGATTTAGTATCATAAAGTGCAGCAATAACACAGATAGGTAATCTTTCGTTTAAATGAGCTGAAATCGCTTTGCCATTTAGGAAGTTACGCTGGTTTTCCCGGAAATGCTTGACACCGAAAAGCCATATTCCGCTTCGCACACATAAAGCACGACTTTTCATGCAGCCTAACATCTGTGCATACGTAATTTAGAAATGGAACGGACAAAAAATTAACAGTTTCAGCAAAATTACCAGCATATATATGGTCATTCTTTCGTGCGTTCGTTATCATATAACGCAGCCCAAGAGCAAGCTAAGACAACGAAAATGGCTGTCATACAAATTGAAAGGCGTTTCCTCTTGCATAAGTTGGGAAAATATCAGTATTTTTGGCAACCTGAAAGAAACAGCAATTTTACTATGTCTAGATTACGCGCCGCTGTGCGGCTGCTGTCTGGGCTTGGAAGGACTCCAGGACACAACAGGACAAGTGAGTTCTGTAAAACAATAGATGTGCGCTCATTCTATATTTCCAAACTCGACTGACAGGACAACGCGCCCCTGATTCAGTTGTTAGGGGTGTTGGACGTTTAACCAACAGGTCGCGGGGTCAAGCCCCAGGCGTTCCATACCGCGCGGTCGAGTATGGCTGCGTTGCGGCCGAGGAGGTCAAGAATAACACACACCGAACTGGTGAAGCACTCGAAAGGGATTCTGGCTAAGACCGATCTGGACGGATCCGTTAACATGTCGCAATACTCATCCAGGCACTAGGGAAGAAGAAACGTTAGCTAGGTAATAAGGTACATCTGGAAGAGATGGAAACTGGGAATACATATAGTAATAGTTAATTGTACAAACAGGATAAGTTATAACAAGGTAGCAGCCTGTCTGGATGGTGAGGCGACAGTCACATGACAGCTAAACAACCGGTGGGGAACGCAGCGCTGTGGGCAACTGCAGGGGAGGGCCAAATGAGTTGCCGACGTAGAAAGAGAGATGCCAGAGTTGCGGCAGGTTGCGGGGTCGGCGGTAGTGAGAGGGAAAGATATCGGCCATTTGCGCCGACATGCAGCTATAATATTGCCATCCTAGGTTCGCGCGCCATAAGTGTCTTTTTATTCAAACAACGCCATACAGATCGTGAGCTGTTACAGTAATTGATGGCGGATAATAAGTCAAAAATAACCATCCCAGTCTCCCTTGTCTTTGTCGGTAAATTTACACGGCTAAAATGTCAAATTTTTTCTAGGCTTCATCGAGGAAACATGTTAAATACACAGAATTACGTCGATGAAACGCAATGTTGAAGCACGCCTTAAAAATATGGTTCATGAGAAATGGAGTCTAATTAATCAAAAACATATTTGTTATTAATTTTTGTTTTGGACGTCACTTTTTTAAAGATGAATCTCCATTTTAGATGAGTCTTCGCATGCGATCCAAATGCCCATCTTCATGAAAAACAACGCTCATGCACTTACTACTTCGGCGAATGCCTTCAGCAAGTCTCTTACCTTAAAAGCTTTGACAAATGCATAATATAGAATCGGTTTTTATGGGCAACCGATTGAAGACACAGAGAACCATGAAGTATTCAGCGACATATGAAGGCCGATCTGAAACTCTGCATAATCAAGAACATAAGAAAAGTGCTCATCAATTATACGGACAAAGAGAGATCGTTATATACAAAAAAATGGAATAATAAAAAAGAGAAGGCTCATCGGAAATTGAGTTGCACACGTAAATTTTCAGGCCAGTCACATCCACCCGTCCTTATACGTCAATTATTCAAAAACTGGTAAATATACGATTAAATCTGTCAAATGTTCTCAAAATTATTTGTCACCGATTGGTCGATTGGTCCGGCAACATATGGTCCTATGAAAAGTTTTAGTCCTTTGATGCCTCTGTCGGCGAGATCAAGCAAATTCTGTTTGCATTATTGAACCGTATCTCGACCAGTATAAAAGCGTAGAAAATACAGCGAATTTTCGGAAAATTGTTTTGCAATCCATACTCAGAATGAAGGCTGTTGGAAAAGCGCTATACATGACATTACTCGAGTTTGTAAAAGATATTTTAATATGGACTTTATTAAAACACTATCGTTAAACGTCATTGGATTTATGCTGTCATGTCCTCCCACGTTTTGCATGTTCGGACATCCTATGCGTGTAAAACTGGCCTTTACTCAATTATAACCATTTTTGTCCATTTCTAAATTTTTCTTTTTTTTGAAAAGACTGGTTCTTCTAAGCAACGTGACATTACTTTAATATTCTTCGAGGTTTTCAGTTTTCGTAGAGCTTTTATTTATTCATGAGGATATTGGTTTCATGGACAGGCGCAGGTTCGCGTGTGATTAGGAATCATTCGTAAATTCCGAAACCTCTTGTCAAGAACTGTATATTCGGCTTCTCGAGACGTTTCTAAATATGGGATTTTTGGCAGAATTATATTACCGACGAAGATAAGGGAGACTGGACAGGTCATTACTGACATGTTATCCGAGCCGGCTACCTGTTGGTTAGATGTACGACGCCCCATTCACTGAATCAAATACCCGTTCTCCAGTCGCTTTCAGTTTGGTACAGTGAGTGACCGATCTCATGAATTGTTGACTAAAATTCTGAAATGCGTTTTCGATCATGAAGGATTACTTAGGCGCGGTTGTGATACTGATAATCCTGCGGCATAATTCTGTAATATTTCAGACTCGGTAGAATGTCATCTTTTCAATGCACTGCTTTTAATCTCCTGTAGGAACTGTACTCGATAAAAAAATGGCTAATGAAGTAATATGCATTTTTCACATAGATTTTCGATGACCTTGCATATTCAAATATATTTTACAATAACCACGAACAAAATGTGCTTCCTTTCACTCGTTTGATAGAAAATTATGCAATCTTTATATTTTATAATCGAAGGAGGAGTATAATTAGGTTTTAAAAAGTTTCTGATTACGAGATTTCTAAGACCGTACACTTTCCATTCAAAGATCATCGTACCTGTCTGTTAAACACTGCTCTTTATTAAATGTACAACATGGTCCGCATCCATTGCAAAATTTTACGGACTCTATATGATGTCTTTTCAACGGCATAGAAGAATATGTGGTTTTCTTTAAACGGAACTAATGCACCCTCCATAATGGAATCACTAAGCGCTAATGCAACGACTGATCGGGCTCTAAATCATTCGGAAATTACAAAACTTTTTAAGACCAACTTATACATCTTTCTCGAGTAGAAATTATAAAGATTACATAATTCTCTATTAAACGACTGAAAAAGCGTATTCTTGTTCGTGGTTTTCACAAAATATATTTGAATTTGCAAGACCATCGAAAATCA